TGGGGAGTGGGGGGGTGGGGCTGGACAGAAAGAGAAGGGGGACTGGGCACCAGGGGCAGCCACTGGAGCAAAGATCTCATGGGGGACACAAACCAGCTACATTGCAATAGTTCCTGATGAATCCTGCAAAGCGTGGGCCCAGAATGGCAGGGGAGCCCAGAGGAGGGCAGCCCCCATCCTGGGAATAGAGTTGTCAGAGTGGGCTTTTTGGAGCAAGAGATTTAAGTTATCTTCTGAAGGAAGAGTAGGAGACAGCCTGGCAGATGGTGCGAGTGCTTCCAGGCAGAGTGGACAGCAGGAGCAAAGGTCCTGGGGCAGGAAATAACAGTGAAAGTCGACTGTTCAGGGTGCCAGGGCAGCAAGTCGTGGCGTGAGGAGGCCCTGGGGAGAGAACCGTGTGCCCGATCATGGAGGCAAAGGAGCCCAGCTTCCTGGGGTGGGGGCAGGGGCAATGGGGCCGCAGGGTTTCAGATTTGCCCTCTGGCCTGAATGTAGGGTGAGGACTGGTTCAAGGGGCACGTTGGAGCCCGGGGACCTGGGAGAAGGCAGAGAACCCAGTCTACTGGCATGGGGGATGGAGAGAAGGGGCAGCGTGATGGACCTGCTCTCCCCTGGCTGCCTGGCTGCCTTTGGGACAGGCCAGGAGGCCCGCACCCATTTCACCTGAAAACACGAAGCCCGGAGAAGCCAGGGGACCCAGGAGGTGATAGTAAAGCCTGAGCCAGAGGACGGAGCTGCTCAGGTGCCCAGCTGCTCACAGCTGATTAAAAGCAAGACCCCAGTGTCCCTGGCTCCCAGCTGCCGCCGCCGCATCCCCGCCGCCCGCATCCCGGCCCGTGCTGCCTCCCGCTAATGAAAGTGTTACTCCACAAAGCAGCAAGGTATGTGTTGTCACTGTTTCAATTATTTATCTGTTTACTCGGCTGCAGTTTTCCGCTTGTCTCAGCAACTCTATTATAGGCTGAAAGCTTGCAGCCTCTCGCCACTCAGCTGGGCTCCGGGCTCACAGCTTGCGACGGAGGCCTCATGCCTGGGCCTGGAGAAGTGGAATTAGCTCCATGTGGCTCTGCGTGTGGAGGCAGGGGAGAGGGGCTGGGAGGGTGGTGGCCGGGGCCGGGGCTCTCCAAGGGGCTGGGGTGGGGGACGCTGAAAGCCTCTCCCCCACCCGCTTTGGCTGGGCATTGAGCTTGGACCTGTCACCCTCCTGGGAGGGCTGGCCTGGGTGCAGCTGGGCCCCTCTGGGCACATCTGGGCCCAAGGTGACTTGAGCTACAGCTGTCAGGCCCAGGAGGTGCTGCTACTGGTTTAGACAGATGCAGGCAGTCCTGCCTGCACTGACTGAGCACCAGCCGTGTTCCAGGCACGGCCACCTTCGTATGGATCCTCCTAAAGAATAAGGAGGCCCCAGCCGTAGCCGGTGTGGCTCAGTGGATAGAGCATCGGCCTGTGGACTGAAGAGTCCTGGGTTTGATTCCGGTCAAGGGTATGTACCGCGGTTGCAGGCTCGATTCCCAGCCCTGGTCGGGTCACATGTGGGAGGCAACCAATCAATTTGTCTCTCTCTCCATCGATGTTTCTCTCTCTGTGTCTCTTTCCTTCCCTTCCACTCTCTCTAAAAATCGATGGGAAAAATATCCTCGGGTAAGGATTAACCAACCAACAAACAAACAGAATAAGGAGGCCTCTCGCCCATGTAGTTGGGAAGCTGGCACCACGCCTCTCGCCCTCTCCTTTGCCTCTCCTGGAACACCGGGCCAGCTTCCCAGGTAGGGGACAAGGAGAAGAGGGAGGAAGAGGAGCAAAGGACCCTTAAACCCGGGTCCTTAGCTGGGGGCCATTGGCAATGTCTGGATCTGGTGTTGGTCATCACAACTGGGGAGGGGAGTAATTGGCATCTAGAGTACAGGCCAGGGACGCTATAACCATCATATAACCAGAGGCCATAACCATCATACGATGTACAGAACAACCCCCCAAAGAATGATCTGGCCCGAAACGTCAGCAGTGCCGAGGACAAGAAACCTGCTCTAGGCCCACCCCTTCGTGTGGACCCACAATGCCCCTGAAAAGTGAGATTAGACAATAATGTTCCCATTTTGCAGATGAAGAAACTGAGGCTCAGAGAGGCAAAGGGATTCAGCTGAGGTCCACACTGGACTCGGCAAAGCTCTGGCTCCTAGAGCAGAGTTCACACCCCACCCACTAGGCTGAGAGAGGCTGTGGGTGGGCTCACTGCCTCCAGCCCCTCCTCTGCTCCAGCGGCTCCGTAAGGGGGGACTCAGATGCGCAGAAGGGGAGGTTGGGGGATTTTCTCCTCCGTGATAGTGGGGGCATCCTGCCTGGTTGACTCACAGCCTCGCCTCCCTTCTATCTGCTCCTAAAATCGGGCAGCCCCTATCGTCTCAATCTCAAATTTCACTCCTATTTTTAAATTATTATTATTATACAAAGGAGAAAAAAGCCTGTCGGTAAAACTGTCTGCTCGAATTTATTCTCCAGACTGAGGGTTTTATTACTAGGAAAATACACTGGCACGCCACACGCACACACACAGGCCCACGCACCCCAGGTAAAGCACCGGGAATTATCTGAGTCATAAATCCCTGTTTCGGGCCGAGGGACAGGGGAGTTTCAAGGACTCACCTCGTTTTCCTGTGGTTTTATTTACATCTTTTCCCCTGGGGCCGTGTCTGGGCTTCATTGTCGGCCTGAGGAGTCAATCCCTGCTTGTGTTAAACGGGTCTTGGGCAGGGGAGGTGAGCATTTGTGGCATGCCTGCTATGGGCTGGGCATCGTTTGCAAACACAAACTTGTGTAACTATAAGGGGAATGGCCGATGAGAATGAGCTAGTGTAGTAGTCCCCCCCTTATCTGCAGTTCTGTTTTCCATGGTTTCAGTTACTTATGGTCAACCATGGTCTGAAAATAATAAATGGAAAATTCCAGAAATAAGCAATTCCTAAGTTTCAAATTGCACGGGTGTTCTGAGCAGCGTGATGGAATCTCTCACCGCCCAGCTCCGTCCCAGCTGGGCCGTGAATCACCCCTTTGTCCGGCACATCCGCATTATGCATCGAGTAGAATGAGGTATTTTGAGAGAGAGAAAGAACATTCACATAACTTATTACAGCATATTGGTATAATTGTTCCATTTTATTATTTGTTTTTCTCATTAGTCTCTTACTGTGCCTAATTTATAAATTAGACTTTATCGTGGGTGTGTGCGCATAGAGAAAAACAGCCTGCATAGGGTTTAGGACTCGCCACCGTTCCAGGCCTCCACTGGGGGTCTCGGAACATGTCCCTCGTGGATCAGGGGGGACTACTGTATTATTTAGGTCCAAAGTAGGAAGGTTGGTTAGGGTGGACAGACTCTGATGAAGGCAGCAGGCGTGTAGTAGGTGCTCAAGAATGGGTGGCTTTTCTCCCCCCCCCACCCCCCGCCCCCCATGAGCATCTGAGTCCTGTAGTGCGGAAGGATCCACTACCCTGTGTGGAAGGGTGTGAGAAAGCGGAGACCTGGGTTCTAAGTCCCACAGCTGTCTCTGCACTGCCCCCCTCTCTGGGCCTCAGTTTCCCTAAATGCTCAATGAGGGATATTTGGGGCAGAGCGACCTCAGGGGGCCCTTTCTACCTACAAGCCCACAATGTTTTCATCCTAGAACAGCTGGCCCTAGAAACCACAGCTACTTACGCTCTGGGCTGGCCCATTAGGGCTCAACCAGCTGCCCCCAGGCCCCTATGGGATCCCATCCCAGAGCCCCGGATGCCCCCACCAGCAAATTTGCCTTGAGCCAGGCGAGGTTGATTTTCAAGTGGTGCCACCAAAGCATGCGGACAGACTTGGTTGAGCCAGCAGCGCGAGAGCCCACCGGCCAGCCGGGGGTATTTCATTTGAAAAACAAATGTCCCCAACTCCAGCCTCCTCACCCACAACATCCCTGGGTGCCATCGTCAGAAGAGGAAAAAAAAAACAAGGAAAGAAAGAGGGGGGGAATCACCTCTCCCACCCCCCAACCTCCTTTCCTTTGTGTTCCACAAAACCAATTACAGGTTGGAAATAGCTGTAATAAACTTGATATCCCACTTAGGGGCCAATTCCGCTGCGGCTGGAGAGTGTAATAGTGGCAGAGTGGAAAGTGCTGGTGTATTTTGCCGGAGCTGTTTAAATTGCCTGCCTACATTATCCCAGCACCTCTCCCGCCGGGAAGGAATCGGCCGTCCTGGAGATGGAGCAGCTGAGGTCTCCGGGGCTGGCCAGTGAGAGGGAGGGTCTGCCAAGAGGGTTTCAATGAATGGATTAGACGTGGGAGAGTGGCTGGCGCCTGGGCTCTCGGGTCAGGCAGACCCAGGTTCAAGGCCCAGCACCGGCAGGTCCTATAGGGTTGCCGCTGGGGGTACAGGGACAGCTAATTAGATAACACAAGTGACGAATGTGGGCTGGAAACCGCAGCGAGCATTCGGAGACTCCGTTCTGCTGGGGGTGCTGCCAGGTCCCGGCCCTGGGTTCTCAGGCAAGTCATCGGTGCCTCAGTTTCCCCGTCTCTTAAATGAGGGATGTTAATGGAACCGATGTCCCAGTCGTTCGAAACACTAAAGGGAACAAATATACGTGAACGCATCTTGGAAAACGTGAATTTACTGCTGTGTTCCTAGCATTGTGTTAGTGATGAAAAGCTTATCTAGAACCTTCTGCCACGCAGCAGAAGTCCCTTCCTCACCTCACTCAACCCCGTGTGCCTAGAATGCGGACTTGCACATCGTATGTCCTTTATGTATGCTTGTGGGATGCACAAATGAGTCGGAGAATGAAGAAATGGGCCAAGGCAGGCCTGTCTCCGTCCAGCCATTCGGCCATGATGCGGAGGATGCTCCCTCCACGGCCCGGTGTGCAGATGGCACCAGATTAACTAGCGCTCATGGAGGGCGTACTCGGACAGGTCAAGCCCAGTGCCAGGGCTCCAGCCATTCGTGCCTTTGGGCTTCTGTGGGCGGATTGAGCTCCTTTCACAAGCGCTGCTTCTTCCGGGAGCACAACTGTGGGCCCCGCGGATGAGACAGTGAGGGAACACCATCACCTCCCTTGATTTCTGCAGCCCCAACCCCTCCGCTAGAACCTGATGCCCATGCTGTACCTCTGACGCCCAGAGCGGAGTTCCGCTAGGTAGGGGGCTCTCGGCCCACATTTTTACAGAAATGAGCCTCTTTTTTAATAGATGCACATATTGGCTGCTTCGCGGGTAAGTGGAGGAGCAGAGATTTGAACCAGGGTCCGATTCTGAGGTCTGGATTGGAAGTGGCTCAGGCTGTAGAGTTGGATGAAGTGCTGGGTAGGGGGCAAGGAAGGGAGCGGGGATTCTATGCCAAGGGAAGCCTGGGCAGGAGTGTGGTGCATGAAACCACTGCTCAGGGAGGAGGGAGAGGAATGAGGGTAGAGAGGAAGTGGGGGACAGTGATGTGGCCTCTCCATGGCCTGCTGGGTAGGGGGAGGGGCAGGCCCAGGGTTCCTGTCTTCCTTGTTGCCATGGTGACCCTGGACCACTCTTCCCCCAGACCTCCTGCCCACCTGTTCTCCACCCTGGGTCTGGGAGCTGGGCCAGAGGAGCAGCCAGAGAGGGTAGGGCAGGCTCCCCTGGGGCCTGGGGCTGGGAGAAGCCAGATTTCCAAGGACAGAGAGAAGGGGAAACCCTCAAGCCAGGAGCCACCCACCTCTCCCGGCGGCTGGATGCCACCTCTGCTGTGTCTCCCTGGTGAGTCCCACCTTCTGGCAGGGCTGGGCTCAGGGTAATTGGCTTCCCCTGTGTGTGCGAGATCCGGTTTTGACAGAGACAGCTGGTGTCATAAATTGCCTTGTCTCATCTGGTTACCGCGTGATGGCAGACAGCAGCTCAGGGATGGGGTGTGGGGAGGGCTGGGGCCCCGGGGGCTGGAGAGAATGAAAGGCAGAGAGCGGCTGCCGGCTTTGTGGGTTCCACACATGTGTGCAGGTGCTTATGCAAGTGTGAGGAGGTGTGTGCGCAACTGGTGTGAGCACAGGTCCCAGGAGCGGCCGGCATTAAGGGGTGTGAGTGCCTATGTGTGTTAGCAGTGGGGAGTATACAAGCCTGCGCGCTTCTGGGTTGCATATGAGGGTGTGTGTGTGTGTGTGTGTGTGTGTGTGTGTGTAAAGCAAAGGAAGGGTGAGAATGCTTGGTGCTGTTCTAAATGTCTAGATGAGGGTTAGGGGGGTGTAAGATACTATGTGTGTGCATGTTGAGGGTTGTGTGTCAGTGTGTGGATTCCTGGTGTGTGTGCACGGGTGTGTATGTATGGTGCTTGCACCCACAGTGTAGGCCCAGTCCAAACTCCCTGTCCCCTGCTCCAGGCCAGCGGGGAGGGGATGACAGCTCAGGTGCCTGTGGGTGCCTGTGAACCTGAGAAATGCCAGGTTGGGAGACAACATCATGTCAACCCTGCCCCCTTGGCATCTCCCGCCCCAGGCAGGCACCCATTGGTCAAATGCAAAGCCACAGTCAGCTCCCAGCCTCCTTACCCCACAAACTGCCAGGTTCAGGCCTGGATGCTCTGGGGCCTCCCTGTCCATCTCTGTGCTTCCCCCCAAAATCCGTGCTGCAGGGGCTACAGGCAGGCAGCAGGGAGACAGGCAGGGCCTGGGGAGATGCCGGACACTCCCACCTCCGTGCATACCTGGGCAGGTGGGCTTAGGTATGACAATGCTGATTTCCCTGGAAGCCCACCCAGCGGTTCCATTTCATGAGTCCCGGCTGGAGTCCCAATGCTGCGTTTTTAACAGGCCCCACTGAGTGGGCTGGGTGCAGGGGTTGGGGACCACAGTTGGGAGAGGCTGTCCTGAACTCCCCACATCTCCCCAGCCAGAGCCTCTGCACACCTTTCCCCTGGTGCCCTTGGCGGCCCACCTCTCAGAGCGGGAGACCCCTCACTGCCCATCTAGACCTCTCCCTTGACAGACGGCCAAACCGAGAACCAAAGAGGAGATGGACATGCCGGGGCCACACAGGAAGGAGGCGGCAGGGCCAGGAGCCGAGCCCTCAGCTCCGAGGCCCCTCCTCTTTGCACCACACCCTCTGGATGCTTGGAATCCAGACCCTGGAAACCTAGGCTCACCACGGGTGCTGCGCAGCCCAGGCACCGGGGGCGCTGTTTCCCACTTCAGGCCAGGTGGGGGTATCCAGCTCCCTGTGCCTCTTCCCCGCCGCCTGACCATGGTCCCAGCACCGGAGGGGGCCCCACCCCAACCGGAGGGCTCTTTCCCATGTGGCTACAGCTGCCCCGTCATGTTCTGGATGTGGTGGGGCTGATGGAGGAGGAAGGAACGGCTTCGTCACCCATCTTCTATCTCCCCGAAGGCCAGCCCTCATTACCTGCCCTCAGTCTTCATTCCTCTAATCCAAGTGACCTCAGCTTCTCATTCATTCATTCATTCATTCATTCATTCATTCCCTCCTGGGGCCAGGCCCATGGACAAAGGGTGGCATCAGACATGATCCTGGCCCGCACAGAAAGGGCAGGGCAGGGAGATCACAGAGAGAAACAGCAGCAGCAGCACGTGCTCGCCCTGCCACAGCGGTCAGTGTGGCAAGGAAGTGGCACAGGGTAGGGAGGGGGCAAGGGGTCCTGCCAGGGTCCACTGCGCTGTGCCTGGGCGGACGGAGAAGGGTCTGCAGGGCAGACAGGGAGGCAGGAGGGCCCTCCAGGCCTGGAGAAGAGCAAGGCAGAGCTGAGGTTTGGGTGCTGTGACTGGGGATTCGGGATGGGTTCTGTGGGATGCTGTGTG